GGTGGAGGATTAGCCTAGTGAGCCGCAGTGCCGGCCTCTAATTTTTTTAATTGCATAAATACTATTTCATCTTAGGTAGCATCAAAATAAGCAATAAGAATTTAAATAACACAAAAGATGATCAACTGTTCCTAAAATATTCATAAATATTTTCAATAAAAATTAAAGCACTTTGTCAGTAAAGAAATAATGTCATATCTATTGCCAATTTTAGGTTGTCAGAGATTTGAAAATAAGTGTGCAGCATAAAATATTTGTACCATATTATAAAATGCAGTGCAAAAAATGTTAACAATATTTTAAAGGTATCATCCAGGTAAACGTAGTATAAACAGCAATATACTTGAATGACTAAGGTTTGTTCACACTGTATAAACTACAGCCCGTACTCACACAGTTTACCTGGCACTGCTGCTCTTCATCATGATCGGTCCCTCCATTAGAGAGACTGCAGCACAGGATTCAATCGTCTGAAACACTTTGAAGCACGCTAGTGAGATCCTTTAATCCATAAGCAGCACCCTCAGCTACTTCTTTGCTAGGAAACACATGAGCAAAACCTGTGATTCCCTTGTAGACTTGTGCAATGGCAACCAGAAGGAAGACGGCAGAAAATCTTCTGGCAGGGAAAGTGAGATTCTGTGCTAGTCTTCCTGTGACATGCTTTCTGCCCGTTATGTGACCTAAACTATGACAACTGTACTTGTTTTTTGACAGGCAGAGTTAGAGAGAGACAGAGAGAAAGATCTTCCTTTTTCCATTGGTTCACCCCTCAAATGGCCCCTACGGCTGGTGAGCATGCCGATCCAAAGCCAGGAGCCAGGTGCTTCCTCCTAGTCTCTCATGCAGGTGCAGGGCCCAAGGACCTGGGCCATCCTCCACTGCACTCCCTGGCCACAGCAGAGAGATGGACTGGAAGAGGAGCAACTGGGACAGAATCCAGTGCCCCAACCAGGACTAGAACCCAGGGTGCCAGCGCTGTGGGTGGAGGATTAGCCTAGTGAGCCGCGGTGCTGGCCAATGACAACTGTATTTTAAGGACATATTTTCTTTCTAGAGGAATGTTTAAAAGTGGAGTCTAAAATTGAAAATTGTCATCTTATAATTCAGCAGTCTACCATCTGGGTTAAGTTTTCACACGTGAGAATGTGCATTCCACAGGCAGAGCAAAAAGTTAAACAGTTTCAATCAAACTCCTTAACTGGTTTCTCTCCTCCTGTTGATTTCTACTTCACTAGGCTGGAGGGGAAAGAGAGGGGCACTCCTCCAATCCATCCCCACCAGCTCCCACCAGGAGCAAGGGCTTTGTAAAGAGAAAGCTACACTCCACCCTGCAAAGATGAATGCGAAGCAAGAATGTATCCTTTCTCTAAGGGGAGCCAGGCTGGGGACATCCACAGGGAGGGAACCAGATACAAATGCACAGCCCTGCTCCTCCTGGGTGGGGGGCTCACCATATGGGGTTGCTCAGTGCTCCTGAGATTACAGTGTCAGGCACAAGCAAGGCAAAGCAGCTTCCACAACAGGCAACTTCTATCAGACCAAATGCAGCTGGGGAGAAAGGCGTTTCAAAGGGGGATTTTGTGAAAAGTCCAAGTGGTTGCCAAATTATACTCCAGTATGTATAAGGAAAATCAGGTAAAATATTGCATTGTTTCAAAAAACACTATTTCAGTTAACCCCTGCAGTTACACAATATATGTTTATTTTATTTTATTTTTGACAGGCAGAGTGGACAGTGAGAGAGAGAGAGACAGAGAGAAAGGTCTTCCTTTGCTGTTGGTTCACCCTCTGATGGCCGCCGCAGCTGGCACGCTGCTGCCGGTGCACTGCGCTGATCCGATGGCAGGAGCCAGGTACTTATCCTGGTCTCCCATGGGGTGCAGGGCCCAAGTACTTGGACCATCCTCCACTGCACTCCCTGGCCACAGCAGAGAGCTGGCCTGGAAGAGGGGCAACCAGGATAGAATCCGGCACCCCAACCGGGACTAGAACTCGGTGTGCCAGTGCCGCAGGTGGAGGATTAGCCTAGTGAGCAGCGGTGCCGGCCCCACAATATATGTTTTCAAGATCAACGCAAAACTGGAAAATTAGACACCACTGAAACAATAATGAATCCCCTCAGGAACTGGAGCCGTGCCCTCCGGGAAGCTGACAGGCCTTGCCAGACGAGTCAGGATCCAGGCTCCTCATTGAGCCTCTGGGGTTGAACCCACCCCTGTAGATCTGACAGCAAGGGACGCATCCCCAGCATGGGGCACCATAGAGTCCACTGCCCAGGAGTAGCCCTACCCACTCCCCTGGTGAAGTGGTGCTAACCCCACCAACTGTCACCCAAAGGCAGCCCTTAGCTGCCTCAGCCACCCTAGTGCCCCCCAAGCAGGCCCAGGTGACTTCTGTGTGCAGCACTTCCTGTTGTTGCATGCTTGCTGAATTCCAAGCCATGTTAGAAGACAGTGCCCCACACAAGCCCTCTTAGAAAAACTTGTTTTTTTTTTTTTTTTCTGCCTGTGGTGCACTTTTCATTTTTTTAAATAAGATTTGTTTATATTTTTGAGACACCCCTCCCCCCATTTTACATTCACTTCTGTTACCCATATGAAGCTGAAATTTACAGAGTTTATTAGAATTCAAGACTTGGGGTAGAAATAAAGAATGATTAAATCCAGAATAAAGCATGATTAAATCCAGAGGAAGAGCACCAACCCTCATTTTGGTGGTGGCAGGAATGATGGTTATGGTACATACAGGTGTGTGCAAAGATTTAATTTTAAACTTTTGCCAAGTTGTCTTTTCTAGTTGAGAAAATTTAAATCGGGCAATTAAGCTACTGCATTTGACATTTTCTTTATCTCTGTAGCAATTTTTAAAATGCAAAGTGATTCCTACTGTTTTTCAGATTTTATCTGACAGACAGAAAGACATACACAATGGACATACACACACCCACAGAGACAGAAAAAGAGCTGCCCTCTGCTGCATTACTCCCCAAAGCCTGCCTCCAGCCAAGGGCTGAAACTGGGAGCTGGAAGTTCTATCCAGGTCTCTTATGTGAGTGGCAGGAACCCAAGCACCTGAGCCATCACCACAGCTTCCCTGGGTCCATATTAGCAGGAAGCTGGACTCATGGGCTGCTACTTGGAATGCAGCAATGTAGTTTTTTTTTTATTTTTTAACATATTTATATTTATTTGAGGCAGAGTTACACTCAAAAGAGGGAGAGACAGAGAGAAAGGTCTACCATCCACTGATTCACTCCCCAAATGTCCATAATGGTTGGAGCTGTGCTGATCCAAAGCCAGCAGCCAGGAGCTTCTTCTGGGTTTCTCCTATAGTTGTAGGGACCCAAGCACTTGGACCATCTTCCACTGCTTTCTCAGGCCATTAGCAGAGAGGTTGATGGGAAGAGGAGCAGCCAAGACACAATTCACACTGTTATAGGATGCGGGTGCTGCAGGCAGAGGCTTTGCCTACCACACCAGGGCAGTGGCCCCAAACCCAGGCAGTTTAATGAGTGTCCTAACCAGTGACTTAACTGCTGGGCCAGATGTCTGCTACATGATTCCTGTTTTAAGATGAAGAAGATCCCCAGTCCTGCATGAGACCACGATACAGTAGCTAGAGAGCCCATGTATAATTGAAATGGGTAAAGAAATGTTTCTATTACTTTAGATGGAATCATGGATACATTAGATAATTATTGTTCAAGGCTACCAATATGAAAGACTGGATCTTTAGCAAAACATTAAAATTAATACTGGCATTAGCCATCCTTGTGTCTAATTGCAAATAGGTGGTTGACTATATCCAGCAAAAATAATTTTCATATCTTCATGGAATCTTGCTAAGAAGCATTAAAAACCTGTGGAAGATTTGTTTTGGAGGTAATATTCACTAATTCACTAATGTGAGAAAAAGTCACATCCAGCACAGACCGTAATGATTGCAATATGCACATCAAATGTATTTTAACTTCCAATCTGCACCAGGCACTACATAATTTTAGTCAATGTATGATTCATTTAAATTATCTCTATCAAAAGGACTGCAGCTCACTTCCAAGTGGCCATGCTGCATAGGCTGAGCACATGGCTCTACCCTTCACCATGACTGACATCAATGGGAAGACTCCAGCCTTATTCATGTGGATTTCTGCTGCAACCCACAGGAACAACTTTCATGAAGCTAAAAGAAATGAGCCATAATGGAGTGAAAAGAATTCCTTTAAAGTTATTTTGGTAAGGTAAGCATATCATAAAGTTATTATCTTAATGGTTTTTCAAATATTTATTTTATTTGAAAAACAGAGTTACAGAGAGAGTGTGAGAGAGGTCTTTCATCCTCTGGTTCACTCTCAAATGGCCACAACAGCCAGAGCTGGGCTGACTCGAAGCCCAGACTGTGAATGCTGCTTCTTGCCTTTTGCTCCTCAGTCTCTCCTCCCCTCCTCTGCACAAATCACTCTCTCCATCAGTCTTTCTCCCTTTGTCTCTGGGATTTCTTCTCTTCTGCACCCCACACATCTTTGTTCCCATGATGTTTCCCTCACTCTCCCTTCCCCTCCCTCCCCTTCCCTCTCCCTCTGGGATTCTTTCACATCCTCTCCCTGGACTTTTCTGTGACTCAGGCCTCCAGGCCCGCTATTCCACTTTAGTCTTGTCCGTGGTTGCCCTGAAAACTCACCTCTGCCCATTTCTCAATAAAGAAACTACAGGACTTTGGGACTCACAGGGCTTGTCAATCAATCTGTTTCAAATTCAGTTTCTCTTAGAGGCCTCCTGGAGTTGGTGTCACTGGGGAGCAGCTGGCAAGATGAAGTCAGGCTCCTGACAAAGCCTGGACCACTGGGTGCACCCTCATGGTCATTACAACCAGGAATGGCTGTCTCGCTCCAGCCTGCAGCACCACAGTTTCTGCCTAGGTTTGGGCCATGTGAAAAACATGGTGTCCACCCCAGGGGGATCAAGTGGCCCTCCCAGAAGCAGACACTTAGGCGAAGGCAGCACCACACAAGGTTTATTAGGGAAATTACTCAGACAGATAAGAGAGGAAGAGTCCTTGTGGGACAGGGAAAACATTCAGAAAATGGGCATCAGGTGGCTTTTTGACCCACAGGCACAGCCTGTTCCGGATAGCTGAGTTTCCTGTTCCAATTCCACAATGGCTCTCCTGAAAGACAAAAGAAATTGGGATTGTTTCCCCCATCTACTGACTTCTTCCTTTCTACATTTGTCTTCCATGTTGTGTCTGCTCCTGATGTGTTTCCTGTGTGGCTGTACCTATGAGTCCTTACACCATGCAAACCAATAGTCCTCACATCTCAGCCACAGACCTCTGCCTCCACCTGTGCACATTCGCACACTTATCTTTGACCTTGTAGGTAGGATTTGCATTTTATTACTAGAGAGGGGAACTTTGCCTTTTCTTAGGAAACAGATTTTGCAAGTCTCTTGGTGTGAGCTATTTCACCCTCAGCTTTATCTAATGAGCATCTCTTGGTGATCTTGATAGAAGACGGTTGCATATATGTACCAGATATTTGTAGAATACTTTTCCCATGGATTTAATGTCTTCCTGCTCATAACGTCCTCAGAAACCAATAGGATCTCCACAAATGTCACAGCTCCACAGAGCACTGTCCTCAGGGGCTGGGACAGTGTGGGAACAGGGAGAGAGACCCATATTGCCTGATGTGACACTGAGAGGCAGGGGTGTCTGGAGGAGCTGAGACTCCTAAGGCTTCTTGTTGTGAGGCAGAGCCAGCTGCCTGCTAATCTAGAGCTGACTTCATTGTCAGTATCCTTGGGGCATCATAAACTCAGGCAGAACCTGGACACACCCATGAGACTCTTTCTCTTTTCCTTCAGATTGTGGACAGAGGGCTGTAGGGCAACAAGAGCACTCTGAGCACGATGGTGCCCTGGCCCACACTGGGTCATGAGGACTCTCCTCCAGCAGCTCCGTGTGACCCCAGGCAACCTCTATCTGCTCTGTTCACACCACCTGTCCTGCTAGGTCAGCTTTCCAGCCCCCATCTTATGGAGCTCAATGTGACCCTATATGGCCCCTCCTCATCTCCTCCTCTTTGCCACCCCTCATTTACACCCAGGAGATTCACTCCCTCTTTTACACCCTGGGGTCCTTCACTGGCAACTGGCACTTCCATTATGGCAATGACCAGCCCAGTGCTGAGTGTTGTGTGTCCCTACCCTGCAGGAACCTGCACTTCTCAAAGCCAAGGCCAAGTCTCATCCCTCACAGAGCTGAGCATATCCCCCCTCCCCACACCGGGTTCCATGCTCTGCAAAACTGCTATTTCTGACTTCTATAGATGACTTCTTTCTTCATCTAAACAGACACCTGCACAAGATAGGGCTGTGGTGTAGCCCACTGTGTGTCCTCAAAATCAATCATGAGCAGTTACAAGGCCCTCAGATAGCCTCACCCTTGAAATGCAAAGCCCGGCAGAATCACCCAGGACATTTTGTTGTAGGAATAAAAATGAGAGAAAAGATAGAGGTACACTTTGCAAGTCAGTTCATTCAGGGTAGATCATCCTACCAAATTCTGGAGACAGAGGTGCTGGCTGAGGTCTTGGAATCCACCAGGGTGGAGGAGGTGGCGGATAGCCCATGAAGGATTCTCTGTAGCCCCCCATGTGGTAGGGCATGTAGGGTGGTCTTGGGAAAGGAGGAGGTCCTCCTGTAGCCATGTTGACCTGCAGAGCAGAAGTTAACATTTTGAAGTAGATTAATATCATGGGCAACACCAATACCAACACAACTGAATCACAGTACAGCAGGTGATAAAGGCTGGTGCCTTCCTCTCCACCAGGTATTAAATAAGCAGCCTCAGCACCACAAAACTCTCCTCTTCCACTAGATCCCAACAGCTTGAGGAGTGAAGGGAAGTCACAGGATGAACTGCTGTCACCACATGTCACTGTCCATGTCTGCAGAGGTATGTCGCTGAGAAACAGTACCATGGCAAACTGATAAAGACACACACTCCATACAGATGATCTTCATGTCAAGGACTACCCAGCACTCCACAGACATTTCTTGCACATTAAAAAGAGATGATTGAAGGAGGGGAAAGTCCACTGTACACACATTAGAGGGCCTCTCCCAATCTTCTCTGCTTCCCTCCCTGGCTGAGGGTCTCCTCACTGGGGGTGCTGTCGCTGGACACAGGATCTCCTGGGGAATGCAGATTCCTGGTGTCTTGCAGGGAAACTGGGAATGTGATTTTCCAGAAACCATGTTACCCACTGCAGTTAGGTAGGCATGGGTATCTAACTTAATTCATAGGCAAGACTGAATTGGAAGCACTCTGGGAGCTGAACACTACTTCTATCTCCTAGACAAACAAGGTGGGAAATAAGAAAGTTAAAACAAGGTACATTTTCATTTCAAACTACAGATGTCCAGTGACATCTGAATGTAGAATCACCATCAGCAGCTACACAGGTCACACAAAAACCTGCATATGGGAATGTCAATTAGGCTCTTCTGGGAATTGGCCTTGCAGGTAAATGCTGATGAACACTCTTCACTATGCTGTTATGCAAACATGATCCCTGAAGCTTCAGAATATTCCACAGAGGGCCCCACTGGAGGGTTTCCTGCACAGCCCATTTACCAAGAGAAATGAGACAGTGATTTGCTTTGTCCAAAAGCATTCAATATTGAACAAAACACAAAAAATCATGGATTCTGTGGGTGAAGATGTTCTGAATGGTTAAATGACCTAAATCAAAACAGGAAAGGAGTTATTTTATTCCAACAATGAAATGTGGCCTGGCCACCTCCCAGGTTATAGAAGCCTGGGGGGAGTCACTGTGCCATGAGGCTGAAGGTCACAGCCATCTTCTCTGCCAGTGATTTCCAGAAACTGACAAGCAAACCTTCAGGCTTCAGCCTGTAAAGCACCAGCACAGATGCTGAGCTGGAAAAGGAGAGGCCCACAGGCTTGTGGGGGAAGGCTTGACTGCTTTGAAAAGTTACAGACACAGAAAAGGTATCACAGCACACAGAAGTCAGAAAATAATGGAAGAGAGAGTGCTGTATACGCAATGATCTGGTTTCAGGAAATCATTACAAGGAAAATGACCACAGCAATTACCTGTTCCTTCCTGGTGTCCTCAGCAGGGGATGAACCTTGGTTCTTCATGTAACCTGCACAAGTTGTGGAATCTGCCCAACAAGAGACAGCACTGTATTCTTTCTTAACAAAATGTTTATATATTTATTTATTCAAAAGGCAGAGACAGATGAATTCCATCTGTGGGTTCACTCCCCAAATGCTAGCAAGAGCTAGGACTGAGCCAGGCTGAGGCAAGCAGCAAAGACCTCCATCCAAATCTCCTACATGTTTGTCAGGGACTCAAGTGCTTGAGCCACCATCTGCCACCTCACAGGCACATTAGCAGGAAGGTAGATTGGAAGCAGAGGCAGGACTCAGTCTCATACAGTCCACCGATATAGGATGCAGGCATCACAAGAGGCAGCTTAACCTGCTGTAGCAAAGTGCCAACCACCCGGGGAAGGGAGGTTATTCTGCCTCAGTGTTGAGAACACCTACACACACCTTTTCACCCTCTTAAACTCAATCCCATGTTAGGTCTCTGGTCAGAGGCCCAGGGTTTACCAAGTGCCTCATAAGAGCCCTGAGTACAAGGGGGAGGCCCATGTCCTCACTGAGGATGATACAACCTTAGCCTGTGCCAGGGGTTTTCACCACAAACCAACTCATTGTACCTAAGTCAGAGCTAAAATAAGCTGGAAATCAACATGAAAACAGGTTACATAGTATGTATAGAGGAAATTATAGTTTAAGAACATCCTTGGGGCCAGCGCCGTGGCTCAATAGGCTAATCCTCCACCTAGCGGCACAGGCACACTGGGTTCTAGTCCCGGTTGGGGCACCGGATTCTTTCCTGGTTGCCCCTCTTCCAGGCCAGCTCTCTGCTGTGGCCTGGGAAGGCAGTGGAGGATGGCCCAAGTGCTTGGGCCCTGCACCCCATGGGAGACCAGGAGAAAAGCACCTGGCTCCTGCCTTCAGATCAGCACAGTGTGCTGGCCACAGTGCACCAGCCATCGCAGCCATTGGAGGATGAACCAATGGCAAAAGGAAGACCTTTCTCTCTGTCTTTCTCTCTCACTATCCACTCTGCCTGTCAAAAAAAAAAATCCTTGGATAAAAAGAATATCAATAAACTCTGGACATGAGCAGTCCCAGGCCATGAAATCATGGGGAGATTCTGAAAATATTAGTCCCTCTGTAACTGGCCATCTATGTGATCTATTGTGATACAAAGGACTTTGAGGGTTATAATATTATAGAAGTGAAATTACATAGAATTTAATTTACTGATGGAGCTCTATAGTTGACAGTAAAGAAAAAAAGCCAAAAAATAGCAAACACACACTTACTGATGTAAAGCAGAGTTTGCAGAATATTACTACAGGGATGATAGTCCAGGACATTTCCTCTCTTATCAGGAGGTACAACATTTATTGTCAAGTACTGTTGGTGCTGCTAAGGCCTCTACCATTGACTCAAGGTGGACAGGAGGATCTGGCCAGGTTCCCTTCTATTCCCTATTGTCAGTTAAAAATAACTGAGTTCAGGTGCAGTGGAGGAGAGTCCCCAGTCAGTACTGGGGTCTGAGTTGAAGAGCCACTTGTCCAGGGCACATGAGGAAAATAGCACCTGGCCTCGCTGCAGGACAATCATTTCTCTTTGCTAAGTGCATGGAACTCTTCAGAAAATGGAACAATCACTGCCCAGAGTGAGAAGCTGAGGGTGTGGAATCTGCAGGGGACATGAAGCTATCACCCTCCTTCCACACTGCTCCTACCTCTCTGTGGAGGGTTCTCCCAGCCAGGTCCCCCTGACACTGGCTTCTGCCTCCTGGATTCCTCTGCCTGCATTATTTCCAATCTTGAAGATAGAGAAAAAACAGATTTAAGTAACAGAATACACACATACACACCCCAGAACAAGTCCTTTACTAGACACTCAACAACTTAGTCTTAAATCAGAGACACGCTTAAAATGCCTGCTCTTTCATGCACCTGTGTTTCAAATGGGCAGTCTCCCTCTTCTGCACCATCAACTCCCGCTCCAGAGCTTGAGCCCTGAGCTGTGCAGAGGAAAATACATGCACATTCAGTTGTGGGAAAAGAGGGCAGAATGGAAAGAAGACATGAAAAATGTTTACCTCAATGTCATGAGTCTTTTTTTTATGAACAGCAATCTGAAAAGGCCAACACAGAAAGTGAGGGCTTAGGGACTCTCAGGTGCTCTTTAACCATCTGCATTAAGACTTGAAGGACAGTGCAGCTATTGGGCAGCATGCAGTTACCTCCTGTCTGAAGGTCTCCTTTTCTTGCTGCTGCTGAGCCTGAATTTCTTGCAGTCTTCTCCTGTGATTCAGAATCACTTTCATCAGATAAAGTACAATGTTGACTATGATTTTAAACAGCTTCCCCATGTTACCCTATCCACAGATGTCAAAAATACTTACGATGATTGTAAAGGTACAGAAAGAGTAAAACCTGCTGCATCATTTCCTTATCCTTTATGTTATACCTGCAGGATTCCCAGCTGATGTAATCTCCTTATTTCCCTAGTTTTTCCTCCTTTGTGTGTCTTTTATCATAAAGGTCCATTCTATTATATCCTTGCCATGTTTCTGAGGGCAGTAAGAACTGGGTTTATAAAATAGGGACAATCATTGTAATGGATTTGATCCATCCTACAATGAACTGTCTTCCTAAGGATTAGGAAGGTGGATTCTCACGACCCCAAAAAACAATCAAGTTTCCATGCAGTCAGGCCAGCATTTGGAATCAGGAACTGTGTAGGAACAGTATCACTTGGTCATTTGTAAACTTAAAATACTTGGTATAATCTTGTATGAATCATCTCTATGTCTTTTGAACATTGCTTACAGTTTTCTTTTAACTGGGCCTAAGCATTGTACAGTTAATCCAACCACTGTTTCTGAACTGGTTGTTTAGTCTCTGGACTCACACATAGTTCTCAATTTCTTCTTCAGCCTGTTTCAAATTCTCCTCTTTCTCTGACAGCTTCATCTCCTTTTCCATCCACTCTTGTTTCCCTGCCATCTTCCTAGGATGGGAAAGAAATGCACATTTCCCTGAAGCCCATGTGGGATTATGCCTCCCCACCTGCTAACAGTCTGAGGGCATGATGGGAAAGTCCCTTTGCAGGCATCCCTATAAACACACAGACCCACAAACAGTGCAGAATCAGAAGTGAAGCCTCCCACTGACAGACAGAAGATGATCCATTGGCCAGCTGGCAAGTTCTCTCTAATTACTGTGTGCTCCTATGCATTAGTAATAAGTCAATGAATATACATAGCACCTGACACTGAGCAGTTGTGACTCTGAAAAGGTGAACACACATTTGTGGAAAAGCAGGTCAAATCACTTCATCACTAGTAATCCCATTAGGATGAGACAGGGGGTTCTCACTCATCGGCCACTGCCCATGGAGGAACGTGATTCACAGTCTGGCTGGGACCATAATACAGACAACCTGATCTACAGAGATCCTTCCAGCTCATGGAGTCCCTAACACTGCAGTCACTCTGAACACAGCTATGATGCAGGGGTAGAGCTCCTGCCACCTACAGCTGGGAGCCTGATGCAGGGAAGAGGAAAATCCCAGTGCTGACAACACTGAATGAAGTACAGTGTCCTGAACTGTCACCTTTTTGGGGCTTTCCTCAGCTCCTGTGAACCTGCAGCTATGTCTACAAAGCCCTCAGCCCCAGTGCTATTTACTTTTACAAAGTGGCAATCACTGAGAATGCAGGCAGCAAAAGCCCATGGTCTAGAAAGAGTCTCCCTTTGCTATCTGCTTCATTCCATGTTACCCATAAAATGCCAACAGCTGTGGGACACAGGCACAAAACAAATGAGAGAGTTAATGACTTGGAAGCCTTCAGTAAATTCTTTCTGTGTTTTTAAGTGCCAAGGATACAAAGTAGAGTGAGGCATTGTTCCTACCTTAAAAACCCACAACATACTAGTAAGGACAACAGCAACCCTGTCTCAGACTTTGGAAATATTATTCCAAGTCTGAGCCATGGGGGACCATAAAGAAGAGTTCCAGTTTTAAACATGGGTGTGTGTGGATGAAGTCCTGGATCTCCCCCTGAGAACAAACATGAGGTATACAATGGAATAGACTGAATCACTAACACATCAGTAATGACATGTGGGAGCAACATGAAGAAGAAGGAATCTTGGATACAAGATTGACCTGGCATCTCAGCTGGCATTTGAGGCCCATTTCCCTGTAGATCATGAAAGAATTCTCTAGAAGACTAGAGAGAGGTAAATATGGGCAGCCTTTGCTCACATGGATGGGTTCAAAGGAATACAGTGGAGTTCAGGGTCTGCCTGGAAAATCTCACAGCTTTTCTTGGAACAGTATGAATTGAGGACAGGACATAACTGGCCTTTGCAGTGAATTCCCTCTGCTGCTGAATGAATTAACAGGTCCTGTATGCTAGCATCCTTGCCTTAGGCCATCTCCTTATTTTCCAAAGCTAGATCACATCATACCACACTTCAATTTTTTCCCAATATTTTTACTCAATGACAGATATTCAATTAGAAATGACGAGACACAAGAAGGAAAACAAAATATGATATGACCAAAAAAACCCAACAATATAAAGGTACACAAGAGAGGTTGAACAGCTCCCTGCTGATGGCCTGAAAATGCAATGGAGGATTTATCCAAATCTTTGGGTCCCTGCACCTGCACCTGGAAGAAGCTCCTGTCTCCTGGCTTCAGATGAGTTCAGCTCCCTCCATTGTGGCCATTTGGGGAGTGAACCAGCAGACTGAAGACCTTTACTTCTGTCTCTCCTTCTCTCTGTAACCCTTCCTCTCAAGTAAATAAAATTTTTTGTTAAAAAAGAGAAAGAATATAGACATGGACATTAATGATGCTGGTATCAGTTCTTTGAGTACCCACAAATAAATTACAAAGGAGTGTATGACAGAAAAATGCATATTGGGAATCAAGGCAAAAAGGACTCTGTACTGACTGAAATTAGCACTGACATTACTGAGCTGGTTCAGGACATCTTACTTTGCAGCAGCTGCCACCTTCAGTTTGTAGATTTCATGAAAACTCTCCATATTCATATCCATCAGTTTGATTTCAGCTTCCTTTGCTGCTTTCACGGACTTCAAGGTATTACAGCTTTTTTCCAGGTTCTTTTTACTTTCTGTAAAGGATAAAAGTTTTCTTTGTGTGTGTGCACATGGACCCAGGGAGTTGGCTGGAGTTGGGAGAAAGAGCAAGGACCCTGGAGGCAGGAACCATTCTTCACCTTCCCAATGCAGACGTATTTACACTAGACAGGACCTCCCTCTAATGAAGGAATGTACCTTCCAGCATCCATATTTTGGCCCTCAAGGCTCTCAGCTGTAAATCCTTGACTCCATCATTTTCATCTTCCAACTTTAACAGCTTTTTAAGAAAAGACATTTAAGAAATGGTTGCAGAACAATGCAAATGTTGTTACTACTACAGAAATGTACACATATATTGTTCAGATAATTTTACACCACCACAGACTTTATAGTTAATCTTATTTTAGAACAATTCATTTTAAAAAGGTAAACAGGAAATAAGAAAGTTCAGTTTTCTGGATCACAGTCTCTCTTCAAGAATGTGACTAATTTTGTTACCTGCTCCTACTAGATTGTCAACCAACTATTTTACTTTTATAACTTCAATTTCCCTGCACTGAAACCAGTTTCATTAAAGGTGATTGGATCTTAACTGAAAACACGGTAATTAGTTACTTCACAAGAACAAAATTTCACAGTTATCATATAAATTTAATCTTCAAAACTGAAATATTTTTTATCAGAGCTAGCATGTACAAAAGAAATATTGAAACAATTACAGAAAGTTTACCTCTGAAATTCCCGAGTTCATTGAAATAACTTCTTTCAAGTTTTCAGATTTCCCTTTTTCAAATGCCTACACATAGAATAGAAACAAAACAAGTGCTAAGGTTTACAAATAGGGGCAGGAGTTTCACATGGTGGTTAAGACTCTGCTTGGGAAATGTGTATTCCATATTGGACTACTTGACTTAATGCCCTGGCTCTGCTCCCAAGTTTATCTTCCTGTTAATGCACACCCTGGGCGGCAACCATTGATGGATCAAGTACGTGGGTCCCTGCCAACCACATGAGAACACAAACTGAGTTCTAGTTTCCTATCACTGGCCTGGCTGACCCATGGCTATCACAGGCATTCGAGGGTTGAATCTGCAAACAAGAACACTCTGTGTTAGTCTGCATCTCTATTTATAAAGTCAAATGGAGAAGGAATTAATTTAAGTGTTTTTTTAATTTCACAAACACACTAGCTTAAACAGCTAAAATCCGAAACAGCAGCTGGTGCCACAGCTCACTAGGCTAATCCTCCACCTGCAGCTCTGGTACTCCAGGTTTTAGTCCTGATTGCTTCTCTTCCAGTTCAGCTCTTCACTATGGCCCAGGAGGGCAGTGGATGATGGCCCAAGTGCTTGGGCCCTGCACCTGCATGGGAGACCAGGAGGAAGCACCTGGCTCCTGGCTTTGGATCAGTGCAGCACACTGGCATTGGTGGCCATTTGGGGGGTGAACCAATGGAAGGAAGACCTTTCTCTCTGTCTCTCTCACTAACTCTGCCTGTGGGAAAAAAAAGGCTGAAACAGCAACCAAGCACATCCATGGCTAACTCTATATTTTATGGACATGTCATTGATCCATATTGGATCCAGAAGAAATGTCAAGAATATAATGAAATGAGGGGAGGGAACACGTTGAAGTAAGTAAGAATACTTTGTGGCATAAACAATCTTTCTGTTTAGGATATAATGAGAGAAATGACTGAGAAGTCAAAAGCAAATAATGTGAAAATTTGTTCAAGTCAACCTGCTTGAATGAACTTTTCTTAATGGAACAGCTTTTCCTAATGGAATATTAAAAAGAGAATAAAAATAACTTTTCACTGACAGTTTTTTTACTGAGCATTAAGAGGGGTAGGGACTGTTTAAGTTGGTCTGATATCTTCCTTCAGCTTTCACACATTTTCTAATTTTATCTATATATCTTGCAGGACAGTGATGAATGTTATGATTAACTGCCCAGACAGGAAATCAAACACACTTCTTGGATCCCTCAATTTAAGATGTTACTTCAGTATTTTTACAATAACATTGAACATTTTTTTCAGAAGATGGTTCATCCCCCATATTCTTACACTTTTACTCTGTGAAAAGCAATAGAAAATGTATCAACCAACTCACTCAAGGGACAAAAAGGCTAAAAAGCCAAATTATGGTAAAATACAGCAGCCAAATTACTACCACATCATGACTCTTAGCATTCTGATCTATTCCAGACTGCAGGTTATATGTACTTTGTACGTGGTAGTTTTAGTGTTGTCACTTTTTTTTGCATTATCCTTCAATACAGCATATTGCATCAGGAACATTTATTTATTTCACTTGTGTTTATAATGGAATCCATATAGGCAAATGGTTTTTACCTTAAGTTTCATTGGTTCATCAGAGACCATCTCTTTTTGTCTGTTAGTCTCAAGAAGACATTTTTTTGATTCAGTGATCTATATGTATATGTAATAAAAGAATCAGAATACAGAAATGTTAATTAGAGGGCCAAGTAACACTTATCCTCATGTATGATTCATTACACAAGTGAACAGAGCAGCACTTTGCATGCAGGAAGCTAGCTTCACATGTGAAGAGTTTATAGATCTTATGAAGCAGGACAGTGGATGAAAGAGGGTATAGGCTGGTGCCACAGCTCACTAGGCTAATCCTCCACCTTGTGGCGCTGGCACACCGGGTTCTAGTCCCGGTCGGGGTGCTGGATTCTGTCCTGGTTGCCCCTCTTCCAGGCCAGCTCTCTGCTATGGCCAGGGAGTGCAGTGGAGGATGGCCCAAGTGCTTGGGCCCTGCACCCCATGGGAGACCAGGAGAAGCACCTGGCTCCTGCCTTCGGATCAGCACGGTGCACCGGCTGCAGTGCACCGGCCGTGGCGGCCATCAGAAGGTGAACCAATGGCAAAGGAAGACCTTTCTCTCTGTCTCTCTCTCTCACTGTCCACTCTGCCTGTCAAAAAAAAAAAAAAAAAAAAAGAGGGTACAGCAGAATATCTGAACTAGACATGGAAGTGACTCAAACTGAAACCATGAAATAACAAAAATTGAAAGGACATTGATACCTTCTGTTCCAAAACAGAAATTTTTTGCATAAGTTCTGCATTTTCCTTTATGGCATTATTGATCTTCTCAGAAATTTGCTGTGAATTAACTAAGGGGAGATAAAAATTAAGATTATAAAGAATAAAACAATATAATTGAATTGCCTCAATGTATTAGCGGAAATTACTTGTTATCTGGCATTATGGCCAGAAAATAACTGTCTAGCTTCACTACTAAGCCTGAAGAAAGCAAACTTTACTTACGGTAATTTTAAAACCAATAAAACTAGTAGGAAATAAGAACCAAATGTCAATTATAATCCTATTTGAAATTATTGGAAACATGAGAAATACATGTTTTCATTTAAGTATTCTCATCAATGGAAGATAGCTATTTATTCTTAGAAAATTCCATTACTTCAAATAGTTTTGTCTTCATCAGAGAAGAAACAAACACCCTAGCTACTTACATTTCTATTCCCTAATTATGAAGGCAGATAAATTTGTTCCTTCCTCAAATATCATTTGAAATTCCCATGAAAGCAGTGTTCAAAATGTCAATCGATTGACTACTCTAGGGCCTCCAAAGACTTCCTGCTGCCCTGAGGATTGTCCTACACAAGAAGCAGAATGGAGGGCTCTGGAGAGATGGTCTTTGAAGTATAGCATAATTTAATACAACCTGTTACTACTTAGTCTCTATGGGATCTGGATGAGCTCCCAACCCTCTCAGATTGGACTTTCTACTACCAAGATCAGAATGCTACTGCCTACCATAAAAGTGAACATCGTGCCTTGATGCACCCATCCTGTAAGGTGGATGGCTCACATAAACACCTAAAGGACTCCTCTGACAGTCTTTTAGTTCTCTCATCTGACCTCAGATGCATCCTTATTTTCATTTTGTGTTTGTCCATGGTATGAGCTCTGCTGCCCTGAAATCACTCTTCTAAACATGACCAGTGATGAATTTACTATTAAAAAAAAAAAAAAACACTCAGAGCCATTGCTGTGGTATACCAGGTTGATTCGCCACCTGCAGTGTCAGGAACCCCTGTGGGTGCTGGTTCATGTCCTGGATGCTCTACTTCTGATCCAGCTCCCTGCTAATGGCCTGGGGAAATATCAGATGATGGCCCAAGTGCTTGAGTCCCTGTCACACATGTGGGAGACCAGGATAAAGCTTCTGGCTTCAACCTGGCCCGGCCCAGCCATTGCAGCCATTCAGAGAGTGAACTAGCAGATGGAATTCTCTCTCTCTCAACTGTGCCTTTCAAATAAAGTAAATCTGTAAAAATAAAAATAAAACATATGTCAGGGCTACTATGTGTCTGGCAGCTTTGGCTCTCAATAGATAGCAACACTTCTTTATTACCCATAAAGCCTATGTGAAATCCTTCTTCCACCTTATGCATCATTTCTGCTCATTCTGCTCTGTCATTAAAGACTCTTTCCACATAAATATCTTGACACATTCCCCCTCCCAGAAAACCAGATTCTTTTCTAAGCCTTAAGCTTTTTGATAGGTTCACATTATATCATTTTTCTAAAAAAGGTTTTTGTATTTGAAAAAGAGAGAGAGGAGAGACAGAGACAGAGACAGAGAGCCATAGAAATCTTCCATCTTCTGGTTTACTCTATTAGTAGCCATAACAACTAGGGTTAAGCCAGGCCAAAGCCAGGAGCCAGGAGTTTCATTCAGGCCTCCCACATGGCTAACAGGAGCCTGAGAATGTGGGCCAACCTCCACTGCTTTTTTTCAGGGTATTTTCAGGGAGCTGGATTGAAAGTGATGTAGCCAGAACTTGAACTGGCACCCACAGGTGATGTCAGCATTACAGGCAACAGCTTTACCTGCTATGCCACAATGCCGGCCTCTCAGAGCATATTTTAATCATATTTGCATTTCCCCAAGAGCCAGATCATGCCACAGTGGTCCCCCAATGCTTCAGACTCTTAGCATCACTTGCTTCTTAAACACTTCTAGGCAAAACTAAACTCATCTCAGTCTCCTATGCCCATTAATGCTTATTCTTCCTGGATTTTTACAATAGATCACAAGTCCCTCTCCATTGTCATTTAGAAACCACTCCAGGAATACTAAAACCTTCAAGAAGTAATAAGCCAGAAATTTATAACAATTACTGTACTTAGAGCTAGTTTAATAAAAGCTCACACCTAATACCAGTACTGAGAAAAGTATTATAAAGAAAATAGAGGCCAAAATTCTTACCTTGATAAATTGGCAGTTTTAGCTAGAAGAGGAAGAAACAACGTTAACCTTGTTATAATAATATATATATTAAGAAATACATGTCGTTCCTGATGAAAGTAAAAGTACTAATCTGGTGAAATAATAGTCATTTACCTTAAAGGAATTTTATAAGATTAAAAACAATGAAATATTATTTCCCATTTCATCATGATCTTTCATTAAACCATTTCTGATAGAGCAGAAAAGTAAACTGTAATTTTTGACCAAAAGACACATTCCCATTTTATTACAGGAAAAACCAATCTATTTAATTTTTATCCTAGAAATGGCAAATTTCATAATTAGAATGCAAATGCATTATTTGATTTTTGGGGGGGGCAATATCTCTAATGAAGTCTTAAACAAGAAAATCCTCCATGAAAACAGAATAAATTCTAAAACATTTGTACTGCAATACACCTCTTTGATTCACTAGAAAGCACCTTACAAATTTTAAAATACAGTTGGATCTTGATGAAGGATGGGATGGGAGACAGAGTAGGAGATGGGATGGTTGTGGGTGAGAGGGTGGTTATGGGGTGAGGGAAAGCCTCTATAATCCATAAGTTGTACTTTGGAAATTTATATTTATTAAATAAAAGTTAAAAAATATGCCATCTGGAAAAAAAAGAAAGGGAAAAGCAAGAGTGAGAGGGCAGGAGGGAGAGAATATTCTCAGAATTGTATCTACAAATTGCATTGAATCTTTTTGAAAACCAATTAAAATTTTTTAATGAAAAAGGAAAGATGACTCCGTGCGGAGGGAAGATGTTTCAGGCTTTGGTCTCTACAGTTTTATATATAACTGGTCCAACTCACACTAGGATGCTAAGGAAAAAGGTGAAGGAAACAACATTTCAATCATAATGGAAATGTTAAAAAAAATGATGTTAGTGAATGGTGTTAGAACTAAAGTAATGATAACCTTGGATAGGGAGTACCTGGGAAGGGCCAAAGAGTGGCTTTTGGGTGATGCCTATGTCTTCTTTCATGACCTGGGGTGTGTCCATGGGTGTTAGATGCATGTATCTGTATACATATTATTCGTACTTCTTTCTTTTTTTTTTTATTTGACAGGTAGAGTTAGACAGTGAGAGAGAGACAGAGAGAAAGGTTTTTCTTCCATTGGTTCACTCCCCAAATGGCCACTACAGCTAGCACTGTGCTGATGTGAAACCAGGAGCCAGGTGCTTCCTCCTGGTCTCCCATGCGGGTGCAGGGCCCAAGCACTTGGGGCATCCCCCATTGCCCTCCCAGGCCACAGCAGAGAGCTAGACTGGAAGAGGAGCAACCGGGACTAGAACTCGGTGCCCATATGGGATGCCAGTGCTGAAGGAGGAGGATTAACCAAGTGAGCCACAGCACCGGCCCCTCATACCTATTTCTGGATGTATATTACACCTCAATAAAAATATAAATTACAGAAAACACTGAACAATATGTGTGATGGTTGCATGCAAGGACACAAGCTCACTGAAAGACTGAGACCTGACCACAGTCCTATAAATTCATCCCTGCACATGTGACCAGCACAAGAGTAGGCTACTTATATAATAATCATGGATACAACTGAAAGTCCTGTGTGTATCAGACATTGTGTAATAAGAAGTCTCTAATAGCTGGTGCCGCAGCTCACTAGGCTAATCCTCCACCTTGTGGTGCCGGCACACCAGGTTCTAGTCCCAGTCGGGGTGCCAGATTCTGTCCTGGTTGCCCCTTTTCCAGGCCAGCTCCCTGCTATGGCCAGGGAGTGCAGTGGAGGATGGCTCAAGTGCTTGGGCCCTGCACCCCATGGGAGACCAGGATAAGTACCTGGCTCCTGCCATTGGATCAGCGCGGTGCACCAGCTGCAGCACGCCAGCCGCGGTGGCCATTGGAGGGTGAACCAATGGCAAAGGAAGACCTTTCTCTCTCTCTCTCTCTCACTGTCCACTCTGCCTGTAAAAAAAGTCTCTAATAAACCATAGGATGACATAGACATAAACTAGGGCAACAAAGAAAATTTCAGTCTCTGACACTTTCAGTAACTGTAAATTGTAATGCCAGCTAAACTTTTGCCAAGATACCCATAATATCTCACACAAAGGGTCTGTTGAAATCAGTTCCTTTCACTCAATGTAATGTCTGGATTTTGGCAAAGAATTAGAAGCCATATTAAAAGACAAAAAATCAATCACAGTTTGATTAGAGAAATCAAGCATTAGAATCACACTCAGATAAATTATCCTTCCAGAAGGGACACACACTTTCTAAGAAAAAAAAATCAAAGAACTCTCTCTTTAAAAAGCCACACTACAAAGATTTTTAAAAGAGGCTCTTCAGATAGAAGGAAGCGAATATATGTCAGCTACTTGGACCTACATAGTGCAAGGGCAATAGGCAAAGGAGTAAGTGAGGGCAAAGCTGTTATCTTACTGATTGGTTTATCAGACAACACTTTGCTTGATATAACAGAACAAATTAGTAGTATCAATACATATGGCAATTATAGCTTATGGATTATAGCAATGTCGTAAGAAATGGTAGGGAGTTTGTGGAGTCACATTTTACAACATAAATTTCATTTCCTGTGAATTGGATTACTTTTTAAAATGTGTATTTCCAATTCAGGGAGAACCACTTTTGAAAAAGATAACAAAAAAGATAAGTTCAAGCATAATTGGTGTGCTAAACACAATGAAATGAAACTTGTGAAATTCTAAGTTAGGCCCTGATAAGGCATAAAAAGAGTATAAGGCAAAAAGGGACAATGAATAAAAAATAGCAATAAAGGTGATAGATGTTAAACCAATTATATCATTAATAATTTTAAATGCTAATAAAGTAAATACACCAATTAAAAGACAGTGACTGTAGAGTGGATTAAAAAATAATTCCCAACTGATGAATGTATACCAGGAGCCCATTTTCAAATCCAAGCTATAAATGCATTAAAAGTGGGTTAGAGAAAAATGTACAGTTAGAACTAATCAAAAGAAAGCTGGAGTAGCTATTTCAATTTCATGCAAAACAAGCACAAAGCAAGGAGCATTCAAGGATCACGTGGTATTACAATAATGATAAAGGATCCATTTTTCAAAAAGACATGACAATCCTTAATGTATAAATACCTAACAACAGAGCTTCAATATTCATGCGGCAAAACTGCACTGCAACTAGAAATAGATGAATTCACCCACTCCTCCCTCAGTCACTGACAGATCCAGCAAAAGCCAATAAAAGTTTAGAATAACTGAATAGCACTGATAATCTGCTGAATCTGTCCACATTACAGAATAATTCATCCAGCAAAATGGAATACACTCACACAGGCTCACACAGCACATTTACTCCATTCACTCAAGACATAAGTTCACTTTACCAAATAGAAAGAAGTAGGAATCATAGAATATTTGCTCTCAGGACACAGTGAAATTAAGCTAGAAATCAATCAGAGAATTTGAAAACTACAAAGCATTTGGAGATTACACCACATATTTCAAAAGAACACATGGGTCAATCTTTCCAGACTTTTAAAAAATGTTTCAATCCAAATTATAATTAAAACAACCTTATTAAAATTTGTGGGTTATGGGGAAAACAATGAATGGAGGAGGACTGATTTTATCAGATGCAAATGCAATTACTATAAAAATTCCTCCTTATTTATCATATAAAACACTCCTAGTATACTCACAACAAGCATAGTTGTCCAGAAGAAAATGGCAAATGCTGAAATAGTCACGACTGTAGCAATAATGATAAGCTTCCGAAAAATCCCCCAAAAATCAGTACTGAGCTGAAAATGGCCAGGAAAGTTCTGAGATGGCTGCAATAAAACATTGGAAACAGTGAGAAGACACAGATATTGACTGTATTTTAGTTGCTAAGAACCCTAGGTCAGCCTGCAAGAAGTAATCATGTCCCTCAACTAACTCAAGGGGATTTCCTTTCTTCTAGGAAGACTGGGGTCCTGGTGTCTGGCACAATGGCTAAGACCCCACTGGTGATGCATGTGTCCCACATCAGAGTTCCTGGGTTTGAGTCCTGGCTTTACTTCCATTCTATCTTCCTGATAATGTGCACCCTGGGAGTTAGCAGATGACAGCTCAAGTATGTATATGGGTGTCTATTGTACAGGTGGAAAAACTGGACTGAATTCCAGGCTCCTGGCCTTGGGCTTGGCTCATCCTTGGCTATTGTAAAAATTGGGAGAGTGACCCAGCAGGTGAGGTGGAGAACATCTGTCCTTGTCTCTTTGCGCCTTTAAAATACATATAAAAATTAATGAATTAAAGTTTAAAAATAAGCATAAGTTTCCAGCCTCAAGTTTCTTGGGTGGTTGGTAGTGTTGTTAGATATTGGTGTGGGTGCCTTTGAGCACAGAGAGTATCCTGGTTCATTATGGGCCCTATACTCTCCTTTGTCTAATACTGGGTGAGAGTTCCTCTCCATTACATCTTCTCTTGTATTGATGTTTTCTTTTAAATACCAGTACCCATTAAAATATAAGTGAAAAGTTTATAAGGAGAAAATAAAATTTTAATGCTTAAATAGAATCAAAACTGGCAAGAACAATGGTAGCACCAAAAAACAAGATTTCATATAAATTCTATTGAACCACTATGTGAATTAAGACAAATGTTTCAGCTGAATAAGTTAATACTGTTTTATTTACAACATTTCTGCATAGGTTGATTTGGATTTAACTTTGTATTTGTTGAAATTTGGCACCTTAACCCTAAACAATTCCTATAGGATGGTGAATTAAACAGAGTTGCTCATTCAGTAGAAATAACTCAGATGAGTCGGCAATGAACAAAAATGAATTACTAATACATGCTGTAACATGAATTCTCTCAGACATATTGTCCTGAGCAGAATCAGGTGATACAAAATAGTCCATATGCCACACACACATCTATTTATATGAAATTCTAGAAGAAATGTAGTATGTTTTAATCTAAATTGATATACAATGTTTTAATCTAAATTGATATAACATTAACATTATAATTTATATGTATACATTTATGTTTATAATTTATATAATTATAAAACTAAAAAACAATGAAATCCGGGCATTTACAACAAAATGGAGGAATCTGGAAAATATCATGCTGAGTGAAATAAGCCAGTCCAAAGGGACAAATATCATATGTTCTCCTGGATCAATGGCAACTAAATGAGCATCTAAAATGATACCCATTGAAGTGAGATGGACACTGTGAGAGACATTGACAAGATTACCCTTTGTCTAGACTGTTGAGGAGCAACTTATTACTTTATTCTTTTTAGTTTTTGTTGTTGTTGTTGCTCTGTTTGTTCTACTTAATACCACTGGTTGAACTCTGTAATCAATATACAATAATTCTTAGGCATTTAAAATTAACAGAAAAGTGATCTCTGTTAAATTTAGGAGTGGGACTAAGAGAGAGGAGATATATAGGTCAGCACATGCTCACTCAGACTTACCTCCAATGGTGGAACTAGAAATGTGCCAGGGTATTTCAACTAAATCTTATAAAGGAGGCATGTACACACAGCTGAGAAAGAACTGCTAAGATCAATCCCATTCACAATAGCTACAAAAACAATCAAATACCTTGGAATAAACTTAAACAAGGACGTCAAAGATCTCTACAATGAGAATTACAAAATCTTAAAGAAAGAAATAGATGAGGATACCAAAAAATGGAAAAATCTTCCATGCTCATGGATTGGAAGAATCAATATCATCAAAATGTCCATTCTCCCAAAAGAATTTGTAGATTCAATGCGATACCAATCAAGATACCAAAGACATTCTTCACAGATCTAGAAAAAATGATGCTGAAATTCATATGGAGGCAAAAGAGACCTCGAATAGCTAAAGCAATATTGTACAACAAAAACAAAGCCAGAGGCATCACAATACCAGATTTCGGAACATACTTCATGGCAGTTGTAATCAAAACAGCATGGTACTGGTACAGAAACAGATGGATAGACCAATGGAACAGAACTGAAACACCAGAAATCAATCCAAACATCTACAGCCAACTTATATTTGATCAAGGATCTAAAACCAATTCCAGGAGTAAGGACAGTCTATTCAATAAATGGTGCTGGGAAAACTGAATTTCCACGTGCAGAATCATGCAGCAAGACCCCTACCTTTCACCTTACACAAAAATCCACTCAACACGGATTAAAGACCTAAATCTATGACCCAACACCATCAAATTATTAGAGAACATTGGAGAAACCCTGCAAGGTATCAGCACTGGCAAAGACTTCTTGGAAAAGACCCTGGAGGCGCAGGCAGCCAATGCCAAAATTAACTATTAGGATTGCATCAAATTGAGAAGTTTCTGTACTTCAAAAGAAACAGTCGGGAAAGTGAAGAGGCAACCGACAGAATGGGAAAAAATATTTGCAAACTATGCAACAGATAAAGGGTTGATAACCAGAATCTACAAAGAAATCAAGAAACTCCACAACATCAGAACAAACAACCCACTTAAGAGATGGGCCAAGGACCTCAATAGACATTTTTCAAAAGAGGAAATACAAATGGCCAATGGACACATGAAAAAATGTTCAAGATCACTAGCCATCAGGGAAATGCAAATCAAAACCACAATGAGGTTTCACCTCACCCCGGTTAGAATGGCTCACATGCAGAAATCTACCAACAACAGATGCTGTTGAGGATGTGGGGAAAAAGGGACACTAACCCACTGTTGGTGGGAATGCAAACTGGTCAAGCCACTATGGAAGTCAGTCTGGAGATTCCTCAGAAACCTGAAGATAACCCTACCGTTCGACCCAGCCATCCCACTCCTTGGAATTTACCCAAAGGAAATGAAATTGGCAAACAAAAAAGCTGTCTGCACCTTAATGTTTATTGCAGCTCAATTCACAAAGCTAAGACCTGGAATCAAACTAAATTCCCATCAAGAGTAGACTGGATAAAGAAATTATGGGATATGTACTCTATAGAATACTATAGAGCAGTAAAAAACAATGAAATCCGGTCATTTGCAACAAAATGGAGGAAGCTGGAAAAATGGGGAGTGAACTAGCAGATGGAAGACTTTTCTTTCTCTCTGTATCTTCTTCTCCCTGTGTATAACTCTGACTTTCAAATAAATAAATAAATCTTTAAAAAATATATAGTACACTCTGAAAAATGGAAGAGATGCCCCCATTGAATGGATCTAGTCATGTGCAATGCCTGTTCCTTCTCATGGGAAGAGCTTCCTAAGAATCTGATGCTTGCTAATTCATGCAAATTTACTTATATCTATGTGTTGTTCTCAGTCACTCTCTTTTCTCTCCTGGGTATAGGAGCAGTGTGATTTCTTAATGTAAGATTGAATACTTTCCAGCAGAAATCTGGCATTTAAGGACAGTATGGACTCTAATGGACAGTATGGACTCCTAACAGTATGGGCTCTTTCTCATTTGAAGTATCAGTCTGCACATGACACAGCTCTTACAAGGAAGGAGGGTAACTAATTCACCTCTTGTTCTTATCACTGTGAGTACCTCCCCTATTATGAGCATCCTGGCAGCATGCAGGTACTGATTTTCACATCTCATGTCTGTCTCTGGGCTCCCTTCAAATATAGTCCCTAGGGACAGCCTCCAAGAGCTGAGGAAAAGAATGACTCGAAAGTTACCGAAAGTCAACAAAGCAGATAATTGACAGCAGAAGTGAAAGTTCACTTCCAACAATCTAGTACTAATACCACCCACTCGGTACCACTGTTTCAACACTGCCAGGTGTCAACACACATGAGTCTTATCTCAGTGACACTGCTACATGTGTGATGGAACTAAAGGAGCAGCAGCTGAGGATCTCCCACAGACCCTGCAGGAACCAGGCTAACAATCATGACTCCTAAGAAATCAGTGTTTCCTGTGTTATTTTCACCACTAAAACATGTAATCCAGTGGCTTCTAGCATATCCACACCTCCTCTTTTGATACTATGAGGTTACAGTTTTCAGGATTCCACCCTGTCAGGCTTTCCTGCTTGTTGATCAAGCAGAAGTTGATGTCACAGGTGTGGCAGAGGTTTGTAAGCCTGGTCACAACACCTGTGATGAGGCCCTTCATCTTTGGAAAGGACTGGATTGCTGTGCAAGAGCCAGTGAAATGGTGTTATCTAAACCACAGTGGGACACAGCCAATAGAAGGAAAGAGACCAAAGTGAATCTGGTGTTTACTCACATTCTGTGCTGTGTGACTGGGCAACCCCAGCACAGGGAACCAGAAGATCCACCTCCATACCTTCATGTCTGGGTCCTCTCAGTGCATTGAGTTACCAGGAGTGAGAGACTAGGGTGGGGTATAGAGAAGGGTGTGACTTAGGGTGGGGCAATGACTGAGCTCACAATTGGCTTGGGAACAGGGCAGGGCAGTGATTGGCTATCCATTACATGGGGGAGGGGGTGTGGCAGTAATAGGTCACAATTAGGTTGGGAATGAGGAGCAGTGTGGTAGGAAGAGGAAAGCAGGGTGAAGAGAGTGTCAGGGTCAAAGTAGGTTTTGGGAGCAGGGTTCAGAGATCAGTGGGAGTTGATTTACAGACCAGTTGGGCACACATAAGGATGGGAGTCTCAGGAGCAAGTAGGGATGGCACAAACCAGGACTCTGGGTCTCTGTTCTCCTCTTTGGTGGTCACCTCTCCCACCTGAGATGTTCATACTCTCCTGACCAATTCCCTGCCATGTAACCCCACCTGATGTGAAGAACAATCCTGCCCCAGCTGACCAAGCACAAACCAAGAACAGAACCTCTGTAAACTTCTTTCTACTCTGACTCTGGTTCTTCCTGATTCAGCTCCTCAGTGGCCCCCCTTCTGGGTAGATCTTTTCTGTTGGAACTCCTCACATTTCCCACAGTCACTGATGGTGGCAAAATATACTAAATAACTGAGCACAGTACTTCAGGTAGAACCTAACATACAAGCATGGTGAGAGGTTTCACAAGTCTCGCTCATGAATGGATTTAAAGAGTAAATAAAACATTAGTTAAAAAGTATAAGGCCTTAGCAGCAAATCATCTTAACTCTAACTTTCTAACTTTATAGAAACTCAAACGAAAGTGGATATGTCATTTTTCTAAGTCATACAATACCTTGAGCTTTAAATTTGAATTCTAGTGGGTGGTGGAGGAAAACCAGTCTGTCATGATTGACCTTTCAGGTATCTCCAAGGGGATTGTGCACTTTAAGAGAGAAATCTCATCAGATTTCCATGTGGTTGATCAATGATATCGACAACCCTGGAGAACACAACTAAGGATTGGAGGCTGGGGGAGGTCCTGGACAAAGATGTTGTCTATGGAATGTCTTTATTAACTCGGCAAACCAGTAAAGGCTCTGCTTATGTTCGGGGATAGTCCCTGCCTTCTTTGTTCTTTGCCTGCACACATACAGATGTGAGGCCACATCCATTTATCCCTGTGACTTCCCTTCATTCCTCAGGATGCCAGGACCCAGTGAAAGAGGAAAGTTTTGTGACTCTGATGCTCCTTATTTGATATCAGGTGGAGAAGCTCCTATCCCTTCCTCTACTCTGGTTCAGCATTCATTGGTGTTGCTTGCATCGATCAGACTGATATATCTGCACCCATGAACTTGTGCTCTGCCCTTCAATAGGGATGTAGGACTAGCCTCTTCTTTCCTAAAATTCCCCTATCTGCCTGAGCCTGTAGGTATCCCCTCATCACCATTCATGGGCTACCAGTCACCTCCTACACTCTGGTGGGCTCTTAGACCTCATCCGGCACCTCCACCTCCAACGTCTGGTATGATGATCTTCACTGAAGGAACTGACTTATAAACTATACTGATCTTTTCTCTCATTGTAAATTATTACAAAAATGTCCCGGATGGTACCACAGGTGTCACTCCTCTTCATGGAGGAACGACACTAAGCCCTGCCTAGGCTTCATATCCGAGTCACGGCACCATTATGTCGCTCCCCCTCTTCGTGGAGGAACGACACAGGACCCTGCGCTGTTCTTTTGTCTGCTCGGCCCTCCCCGGGTTTGCTGCTGGTTCTTCCCAGGTTGGCTACCGTCCCTTCCACCTCGGTGGAAGGGCGGTTCCCCCTAGCCACTTTCCCCACTTCCGCGGGGGAGCGGCACACCGCCGGCCGGCTCTCTCAGGGGCTGCACAGGTGTTCCTTCAGATAGATGTTCCTGGTGCATGTTGTCTCTCTCCTCCTTTATAGTCCTCTTCCACCAATCCCAACTCTGCTACCCACACGCCGAGTACGCTGCTCTCCTCCAATCAGGAGCAGGTCCTACAGTTTATTGGTTGAACTGGAGGCAGCTGTGTAGAAGCTGTTTCCTCCTCTCCCAGCGCCATATTGTGGGAGAGCAGATGCATAGAATAAGTCTTAATTCCAGTAACTTAGTCTAGTCCAAGTTGCTCCCCACACACAGGGATTTACAATACAAGGGTGAGGCTGACTGGGGGCCCTGTAACTTGGATTTATATCCTGATTACTTATAGTGGGCTACATCACCACCCCAACAGCAGGTGACAGCAGGTGTCCATTTAGATGAGGAAAGAGATGGCCTACAAAAGCAAAAAGATGCAAATATGACATGGGAGAGGGGTAACATGCCTGGCTCTGGAAGGGGTAAGATCTATTCCTGACTTTGAATAATGAGAGCTTTACAGGGATGGGACACACAGCACACAGTACAGAGCTGGTGATGACAACAGAGGCACCAGTAAAGGGCATAAGAGTACAAAGGACAGAATGGAGCTCCTGGGTGTAAGTGGGAGGGGAGAAAATAGGAGGAGGAAGTGTAGAGGTACCACATGGGGATTTGCTGAATTCCTAAAAATGGAGCTAGAAGGGCATCCCAGCAGGGCAGGCAGCATGAGCAGGGCATGGGGAGGCTGGGTGGGTCCACATGACATAGTAGGGGCCATGGAACCTCCCTGCTCAGAGCCCCCTTATTGTCATTAGCCCTTCACCTTCAATTTGAAGGAAAAATCAGGGATTCTCATGGGTGGGACAGGGTCTGTAGCCATATTAAATGCATATACTGGAGGTCCAGGAGATTTAGCTTGTTCTTTTTTATTTATTTTTTTTTTGAGAGGCAGCGTTAGACAGTGAGAGAGAGACAGAGAGAAAAGTCTTCCTTCCATTGGTTCACTCCCCAAATGGCCACTACATCCAGCACACTGCTCTGATCTGAAGCCAGGAGCCAGGTGCTTCCTCCTGGTCTCCCATGCGGGTTCAGGGCCCAAGGACTTGGGCAATCCTCCACTGCCTTCCTGGGCCTCAGCAGAGAGCTGGACTGGAAGAGGAGCAACCGGGACAGAATCCAGTGTCCCAACCAGGACTAGAACCCAGTGTGCCAGTGCTGCAGGTGGAGGATTAGCCTAGTGAGCTGTGGCACTGGCTCAACTACACAGCTATTTTAAACTAAGTAAAGATTTGAATATTATAAAAATAACTTTTTAAATATTTCTCATTTGTTTATTTGAAAGGCAGAGTTACTGAGAGAGAGAGGAGGAGATACGGGAAGAGGGAGAGAGAGAGAGAGAGAGAGAGACAGAGAGAGAGATTTTCCATTTGCTGGTTTACTCACCAAATGGCTACAATGGCTGGGGCTGGGCCAGGCTGAAGCAGGGGCCTGGAGCCTTGTCCAGGTCTCCCGTGTAAGTGCAGAGGCCTAAGCACTTGGGCTATACTCCACTACTGTCCAAGAGCCATTGGCAGGGAGCTGAATTGGAAGTGCAGCAGTGAGGTTTCAAACCAGCGTCCATGTGGGATGTTGGCATTGCAGATGGAGGCTTAACCTGCCACAATGCCAGCTACAGAAAATAATTTTTACAGTGTTAATAGGAATTCAAGTTTTGTTAGAGTACAGTGCTATAGGATAAAAGCAATATTTCATTAAGTAATAAAAATGGAGCATAAACGATCTTATTGGTTGTCAAATTTTACACATGTGCATATTCATGATGCACGTATAACAAATGACATAAAACTTGTACACTATAGTTGATGGTGAATTAAAAATTATGCAATAAATAATCTGACATTATATGAGATTTTGTATGAAATATTTTGATTTCTACAATTCTTGTAAATTGAGGAAAACACTGAAAATCATTAACAAAGATTCATTCAAAAAATTATATTTAGTTTACATGATTACATGAAATATAGCTATGAATAGTGATGTATCATAATATAAAAACTATTATAAGTGCACATGTTTTCCAACTAGCTTAATTTGTTCTGAGCTTATCCCATATCTCAACATCTAAAGAAAATATTTTCTGGAATCAAATATACCATGTTCTATAGAAAATGGTTAATGAATGATAAAATATATTCAAATGTATTAATTATAACTAGAAAATTTGTTACTAATAAAAACTTTAAAACAATAGAAACAATTTATAAAATTAAAAATAGAAATGATATAACCAGCCAGCACCACAGCTCAATAGGCTAATTCTCCACCTGCGGTGCCGGCACACCAGGTTCCAGTCCCAGTCGGGGTGCCGGATTCTGTCCCGGTTGCTCCATTTCCTGTCCAGCTCTCTGCTGTGGCCCGGGAGTGCAGTGGAGGATGGCCCAGGTCCTTGGGCCCTGCACCCCCATGGGAGACCAGGAGAAGCAGCTGGCTCCTGACTTTGGATCAGCACGGTGTGCCGGCTGCAGCGCGCCAGCCGCAGTGGCAACTGGGGGGTGAACCAATGGAAAAAAGGAAGATCTTTCTCTCTGTCTCTCTCTCTCTTTCACTGTCCACTCTGCCTGTCAAAAAAAAAAAAAAAAGAAATGATATAACTGTATTTAAAAATAAAGTATCAGAGAAAGATACTCTGAGACATGTTATTAAAATGTGTACCAAAATAATTATCCTGCTTATGTTTAACATTTGTATAAAATATGAAGGTATTTTTGTTTTAAATACACAGGGATGCATTTTATTAATATGCCTCAGTAATTTAGAATTCTGCGTTAAACTATTTAGTAGTACATTTTATAAACTAGTCTATTTAATAAAACAATTACTTGTCAAAAAATAAATACTTCAAAATGTATTTATTTTAGTTATTACAACCTTCTCTTCCATTCTCAAAAATGCCATTCAGAATGACAAGATGTTTGTTTCACTGAGGCTGGAAGGACAATTCTTGTTTTGGGTGGAGTAGAGCAGGATGGCTCAAAGCTTCATCACACTATTTAGAATGGTACAAAATGTAAAGCATTCAATTGCTTACTTTGGGAAATTTTCATTTAAAGTTTTGGACCATGGTTGATTGCAAATAACTGAAATGGAGAAAATGAAACCATTGCCATTGTAAGTAGTGGACTACTTGTAGAAGTGCATGGTACATGTGATGTT